AGAAAAGGAGTACTTGTGGCACCTTAGAGACTAACCAATTTATTTGAGCATGAGCTTTCGTGAGCTACAGCTCACTTCATCGGATGCATACCGTGGAAACTGCAGCAGACTTTATATACACACAGAGAATATGAAACAATACCTCCTCCCACCCCACTGTCCTGCTGGTAATAGCTTATCTAAAGTGATCATCAAGTTGGGCCATTTCCAGCACAAATCCAGGTTTTCTCACCCTCCACCCCCCCACACACAAACTCACTCTCCTCCTATTACCAGGAGAATAATAGCAGGAGAGTGAAAAAAGAAAAGGAGTACTTGTGGCACCTTAGAGACTAACCAATTTATTTGAGCATGAGCTTTCGTGAGCTACAGCTCACTTCATCGGATGCATACCGTGGAAACTGCAGCAGACTTTATATATACACAGAGAATATGAAACAATACCTCCTCCCACCCCACTGTCCTGCTGGTAATAGCTTATCTTACCGGCAGGACAGTGGGGTGGGAGGAGGTATTGTTTCATATTCTCTGTGTATATATAAAGTCTGCTGCAGTTTCCACAGTATGCATCCGATGAAGTGAGCTGTAGCTCACGAAAGCTCATGCTCAAATAAATTGGTTAGTCTCTAAGGTGCCACAAGTACTCCTTTTCTTTTTGCGAATACAGACTAACACGGCTGTTACTCTGAAGCAGGAGAGTGAGTTTGTGTGTGTGGGGGGTGGAGGGTGAGAAAACCTGGATTTGTGCTGGAAATGGCCCAACTTGATGATCACTTTAGATAAGCTATTACCAGCAGGACAGTGGGGTGGGAGGAGGTATTGTTTCATGTTCTCTGTGTGTATATAAAGTCTGCTGCAGTTTCCACGGTATGCATCCGATGAAGTGAGCTGTAGCTCACGAAAGCTCATGCTCAAATAAATTGGTTAGTCTCTAAGGTGCCACAAGTACTCCTTTTCTTTTTGCGAATACAGACTAACACGGCTGTTACTCTGAAACCTAGTGCCAGAGAACTCTTTTCCTAACCCACCCTATCCTGCCCATTTCAATTAATGATGCCTTAAATCCAGTGTTTGTTCGTTAGAATTACCTTCAAGATGATGAATTGTGATGTGATGAACACTGGATTATAAAATCACCAAATGAGTCAGGCAAGCAGAGAAATCACATCAATAAATTTTTTTATACACAGTAATCAGAAATGTTTATATGAAATATGGATAGTTTAAGGGGTTTGTAGCAAAATCAATAATCTATTTTTAAAGCTTGCCTTCACACAACAGTTCCCTTAAAACTCAGGTCCCACCACACATTTTGAAAAGTGCAGGAAATAAACTTTGCTACAGTAGTTAGAATTCAATTTCTCAATAAAAGAGAGAGCATCTAAGGGTATACACAGGCAATTGCCAGGCATAACGGTGACTGCTGTACCAGCACCTAGTTAGGCCCTGAGATAGGGCAAAATCTTATGCACATGCTTAACTTAACAAAGCAAGTAATCCTACTGATGTCAATGGGGCTATTCACAATGTGTGACATTAGGCATGTGCATTAATCTGCACAGAACTGACGTTCTTCTCTGCAAAATGTTTTTGAATACTTTAAGCAAGTGCAATAGTACACAAATCAAAACTATCCCCTTTATTATTATTCTTCATTTTATAGCAGTACATAAAGGCCACAACCAAAGCTGGTGCTAGGAATATCAGAAGGGCCGTACTGGGTCAGACCAATGGTCCATCTAGTCCAGTATCCTGTATTCCAACACTAGCCAGTGCCAAATGCGTCAGACAGAATGAACAGAACAGGGCCCTGTCGGCCAGCCCCCACATCTGGCAGTCAGAGGTTTAGGGAAACACAGAGCATAGGGATGCATCCCTGACCATCTTGACTAATAACTATCCATGGACCTATCCTCCATAGGATCACAGAAGATTAGGGTTGGAAGAGACTTCCGGAGGTCATCTAGTTCATGAACTCCCGCCTCCCCCCATTAGCTATACTTTTGGCCTTTACAACATCCCATGGCAATGAATTCCACAGGTTGACTGTGCGTTGTGTGAGACAGTACTTTCTCATGCTTGTTTTAAACCTGCTGCCTATTATATTTCATTGACCCTGGTTCTTGGGTTATGAAGTGGTAAATAAGACTCCCCAATAACTTTCTCCATCGCATTTATGATTTTGCACATCTCTATTATAGCCCTTTAGTCATCTCTTTTCTAAGCTGAACTGTCCCAATCTTTTTAGTCTCTCCTTGTATGGAAGCTGTTCCCAAGCCCTAATAATTTTTGCTGCCCTTCTTTGTACTTTTTCCAATTATAATATACCTTTTTTTAGATGGGGCAACCAGTAATCAAGATGTGGGCATACCATGGATTTATACATATAATAGCATTATGATATTTTCCATCTTTTTATGTATCCCTTTCTTAATGGCTCCTGACAGACTGTTAGCGTTTTTGACTGCTGATGCACTCTGAAAAGATCTTTTCAGACAACTATCCAACATGACTCCAGGTTCGCTTTCATGAGTGGCAACAGCTAATTTAGACCCCATCAGTTTGTATGTATAGTTGGGATTAAAATTTCTGATTTGCATTACTTAGCATTTATCAACATGGAATTTCCTCTCACATTTTGTTCCCTCCCTTTCCTGTACAGTTTTGAGATCCCTTTGTAACCCTTCTCAGTCGGCTTTGGACTGAACTATCTTGAGTAATTTTGTATCATCTGCAAATTTTGTCACATCAACGTTCACCCCCTTTTCCAGAGCATTTATGAATACGTTGAATGGCACTGGTCCCAGTATAGATCCTTGGGGAACCCCGCTATTTACTCTCTCTGCTGTGAAAACTGAACATTTATTCCTATTCTTTGTTTCCTATCCTTTAACCAGTTACTGATCCACAAGAGGACCTTCCCTCTTATTCCAGGACTGATTTCTTTGCTTAAGAGTCTTTGCTGTGGGACCTTGCCAAAGGCTTTCTGAAAGTTCAAGTACATGATATCCACAGGATCACTCTGGTCCACATGCACATTGACTCCATTAAAGAATTCTAATAGATTCGTGAGGCATGATTTCCCTTTACAAAAGGTATGTTCACACTTTCTCAACATATTGTGTCATCTATGTCTTTCATAATTCTGTTCTTTACTATAGTTTCAACCAATTCGCCTGCTACTGAAATTAGGCTTACCAGCCTGTAATTGCCAGGATCACCTCTGCAGCCTTTTTAAAAAAATCAGCACTACATTAGCTATCCTCCAGTCATCTAGTACAGAGACTTAAGCACTAGGTTACATACCACAGTTAGTAGTTCTGCCACTTCATATTTGAATTCTTTCAGAACTCTTGGGTGAATACCTTCTGGTCCTGGTGACTTACTATTGTTTAATTTATTAATTTGTTTAAAAATCTCCTCTGACACCTCAATCTGGGACAGTTCCTCAGATTTGTCACCTAAAAAGAATGGATCAGATGTGGGAATCTCCTTCCCATCCTCTGCACTGAAGATGAATGCTAAGAATTCTTTTAGCTTCTCCAATGCAGCCTTATCTTCTCTGGATGCTTCTTTAGCACCTTGACTGTTCAGTGGCCTCACTGATTGTTGGGCAGGGTCCCTGCTTCTTTTTGCCTCTGCTTTTTTTAATCTGTTGTTCAGCCATGGTGTCATTTTTTAAAAATTTATTGTTATTATTATTTGGGGTATACATTTAGTTTGAGCCTCTATTATGGTGTTTTTAAGTAGTTTTCATGTAGCTTGCAAACATTTCACTCTTGTGACTGTTCCTTTTAATTTCCATTGAAATAGCTTCCTCGTTTTTGTGTTGTTCCCTTTCTGGAAGTAAAATGTTACTGTGGGAAATTACTAAACACACTGGAAGAGAGGCAGAGAGATTCTTTACAGCTATTCAGAGATGACTCTGGCTGAGTTGTTCAGAGGCTTTGTAGACACTAACAAAAACGGATTCCTATTTATCAGCTATGGAAATATTCAAAAATTAATAGAAGTCTTTTTCCATCTACACAGAAAATATAATGCACCTTTTATTAAACAATATTTAATTCAGGTGAAATGTGCAACATTGAAAGCTCTGAAGAGTGAAGTCATCTATCCAGGAAACACTAGGGACAGCAACATTTCAACCTTCCCCACAGCATCCTGCTAACATACACTAAGCCAAGGATCGGCAACCTTTGGCACGCAGCCCGTCAGGGAAATCCACTGGTGGGCTGGGATGGTTTGTTTACCTGCAGCGGCTGCAGGTTCAGCCGTGGTTCACCATTCCAGGCCAATGGGGGCTGTGGGAAGCGGTACAGGCTGGCGGATGTGCTGGCCGCCGCTTCCCACAGCCCCCGTTGGCCTGGCACAGCGAACTGCGGCCAGTGGGAGTTGTGATTGGCTGAACCTGTGGATGCTGCAGGTAAACAAACCATCCGGGCCTGCCAGCAGATTTCCCTGGCGGGCCCCATGCCAAAGGTTGCCAATCCTTGCACTAAGCCTACCCTGGAAGGGCCACATCTTGGCCCCAGTATAAAATAACTACCTCCAAACAATTAACACAGGCAGAAAGGATGGGGACTAATTACGCTAAAACCATTAAGACCAACATGGGAGCAGCTTTTTGGCACGACTAGCCATGGATGAATTGGAATTAGTGACCTGGAGTACCAGGCTCAGCAGGACTCCCACCTTTTGGAGGCTTTGGGAAACACCCCTGTGACCCTGACCAGTACCCTACCCAGGGGACCCTCGCAACCACCATATCTGCACCCACTGCCACCCCCCCACCAGCCAGCCCCCCCACTCCCGCGCTCCGCCCTCCCCTCCCACTCCCACTCACGCGCTGCCCCCGACCACCCACACTCAAGCGCTCCCCCCCGCACCAGACCAGCCCGCCCCTGCCTCAGCCCCCAGACTCCTCCTGACCACCCCACCCTCGCAGAATCCCCTGGGAAGGCCCACAGCGCCCCCTCCTCGCACAAGGCAGAACTGACTCGTACGCGGGGGCTAAACCGTCCCCGCAGAGCCACTCCGACCGCTCCCGCGCTCACCCAACCGCCAAAGCCGCAGACTCTATCTCTGTCAGTTTCCACCACCTTCCGCTTCCGCTTCCGCTTCCGCAGGATTCTACGCCTGCGCGCACGGAGGGCGACGGTTCGCTGAGTAGGGACACACTCAGAGCCGCGGCCAAACGCGCTGAGGGTGGGAGTGCGCCCTGCTGGCCCCTGGGTGCGTTCTACTCCCGGCCCGCGCGCGCTCTTTTCGCCCGCGCGCCCTTCCCTGTCCTCAGCCGCGGCAGACGTGGGGGTGGCGTGATATGTGGGGCAAGCCCCTGTGACAAACCGTCCGAGTCAGACGTTCCACGCCCAGCGTTGCCAACCCCCAGCATTCCAGAGGCCGTGCGGCCTCAGGCCTCCCCAAAATCATGAGACTGGCTTAAAAAAATCACAGGATTAAGAGACATAATATAGTTGGGTTTCTTTTTTATTTGTTTTCTGCCTTGTGAGCCATTTGGGTACATTCAGGTGGCAGTATCTTTTCTCTGCAATCGTGAGGACTATAAACTAACCAGTTTGAAATGAAAGCTGAGGTTTTCATGTAATCACTTGACTCCAGGAGTTGGGGCTTTAAGAAAAACACCAAATAATGTGAGACCTTTAAAATCATGAGGAGCAGGAACAGTCCGACTTCAGGCTTGCAGTATATGCACTCCCACATGAAAGCTATGCATGCACAAATGTCGTCTTTCTCTCTTGAATACCTCTGCTTGTATTCATTGCATTCCTCTTGTGGGAGGAAGAGAAAAAATGTGTTTATTCATGGACAACAAGGAATAATGTTTTTTAATTGTCACGTAGGACTCTGACAGACACGTTACAGATGTGACTGAGAAATAAGATCTGCTGCTTAAGGTAGAACAGAAAAAAGTTTTAACCAACAGCTGAATTAATACACTATAGCAGATCACACTGGGGATTCTATATTTATCTTCTCTGGCTTCCATATTAAGTTTGCTCAGGTTACAGGTCTAAAGATTAATATTCCAACTACCAGCATTCTTGATGTGGAAAACAAGCTTATTATTATTATTATTGTCACTTTTTTGATCACTTCAGAATGGGCTTTACTCACAAAAAATGGGGCAAAAAGGGAAGTGGAAAAACCTGAAGAAACCTCTTTTGTCCAGATTTTGCTGAAATGCTATTTCCTGAATACTGATTTAAATCTTAAATTGATCCTCCCTCCTCCCCCCCATATTAAACGTCAGTAGTACCCTGAAATGTATATACATTCCCAAATTAAAAAATAAGATAAATCTGCATCTCTCCCTTTGCTTCCACAAAGTCACCCTCTGATTTTACAGTGAGATGGCGCCACCTTAGATAAACTCAGTGCCTCAATCTGTATCTCTGGCCAGCATATTGGGCTTGATGAATTGAACAAAGGATTCCCTTATGAGACTGTGGGAGGACATTTTTATTTTTAAAAGTTAATTCTGTCCAGAGATGGATTAGTGATGGCTAATTGCCACGGGCAGCTCGTAATGGACAGCAGTTTCCGCATTCCCATCTGGGAATCATGCCTTGAACACCCATAGCTGAAGCACATGCATGATCTTTTGGCTATCTAGAGTCATGCCCATCTGTTTGAGTGGCAGGAGTCCCACTCCAAATTGGTCTTATTCTTGCCCTAAAGCACAGATCCTACATAATAATGGATGAATGGGCAGCCTGAAAAATATTATAATGATCATCTCTTTTACAGGAAGCTCTTCTTTAACACCACTAAACACTGAGGACACATACCTCTTTAAACTTGATTATTGTTGTTGACATGTATATGCCAAAAAGAGAATATCTGAGAAGTAAAGATGAATTAGAATTCACAAGGATTTCAAGCTTTCATCAAGACTTTATTGCAGGATAAGGTGACCACTCATCCTAATTTGCTCAAGATTGTCGGTCATATTGTTCAGGATATTTTCTAATGTACCAAGTCAATGCTGCTCTGATGTAAGCGTGTATGTTCTTAGCTGGGATTAGGGATTGTATGGTGACCGAATGCAGCCTATTTCAATGACAGTGGAAATATTAACAAGCAGCCTGTACATTTCCCTAAGACCAGGCAATATTGAAAAAGATCTGATTTATGGTACAACACTGGGGTGAATAGAGGATGGGCACATGTGTGAAAGAGACTACAAAGCTGGCTATGAAAAATAGCCCCATGGCAAAGGGCCAATATGTAAGTCACTTCCATGTACAACAGACATGGCAGAGAGTTCATGACAGCTGCATAACGACGCAAGGACAGAAAAGGAGAAGGAGGATTTGGGGAATAAAAATGCAAGACAAATAAAAGGGAGGGACAGTCAGACAAATGGCAGCTTTCTCTCTACTGGGGGAAAAAAGCTGGCCGAAGTTAGTGAAAATACATATGAGATCATGGCAAAAAGATTTTCCCTTTTCCGGAGCAAACACTGGAGTATTGTTCTAGTCTGAAAATGACTATGTAAAATGCCACCTTCTTACTCAATAGTTCTGCTTTCTCTTCTATCAGATCTGCTAACTTTATTTACTAAAATTAGTTTTTACTGTGATTTGCTCATTTTAGCCCCAAAGAGCAAACACAGCTCTCTGGGAGAGTGAGCTGTAGTGTATTCTGGCTTGCTCATCAACAGAACTGTAAATTCCAGGTGCAGAATCTTTGGCTGGTGGTGATGTATGAACCAGAAAGAACCCAGCCTAATTTTCCATTTCCGAATTGAATATGCAGGGATCAGAGTAAGAATCACACCCTCTATCCTACTGCTGATGTTTTTACCTGAGTAGATTTGTTGTGTGTGTCATTGAGAAACAATAAATAGATATGGAACCCCCATTTTACATAGTCTCTAAAGTAGAGCTGTAACTTAAGTAATATTAGCTTTGTTGCACACATCTTTCCATGCCTGTTTGGAACTGTGCAGCAGACCAGCATGGATTAGTTCATAAGTAATGTATTTTGCAATGATTATGGAAAAACCTGCAAAGCAGAAACAGCTCATTTCTGTGGTTTCAGAATATTGCACAGTAGTGCAGAACCCTTCTTGGAGTTCCCTGATGTCTGTGTTGTGGTGTTGCTGTTGTTATTTATAAATTACCACAGGAGCCACCGGCTGTCATCATAAAATTTTTATTGGCACTCTGTAAATATTAAATCAGCATGCTAAAATCATGCCATGTGCAGTGGCAGCTGATGCTCTCTTACGGAGGTCACATGCAAGAGAGAGGATTGCATTATGACTCCCATCATTCTTTCTTACTGCCTATAAGTCCTGTGCTTCATGAGGATATATTTCAATATTAAATCTAGGTCCAGTCATACCCCTCCCATCCTTGTGCAGAATGGACTCTGTGCACAGAACTCACTCCTCTCGCATGAAGAGGGAAATCTGCTGCATTATACAGCACCATCCTCCTCTTCCTGGATCCTGCTAAATTCTGAATGAAACTCTGCGTTACCACTTCTCCTTTTTGCAGTAACCCCTTTCCCGGTTTCTTTGCAAACCTCATTAACATATATAATAGACAGTCTAATATTAGACTGGTAGCCAAATTCCTCAGGACACAAAGTGCCACGTTCTTGATTCACATTCTTGATGCACCAAGGAGGCTTTCATTTGTGACATCAGATGCTAGAAATAGGATGCTAGAAATGGGGCTTGACATTTTCATGGGCGTGAAGACCTGTTGGTCACCATGACATGTGATGTAATGATGTCACACATTGAGATGTGGATGATGATTTTATTTTGACAGTGGAGACACTGAAGGGAAGAAAAGAAAGGAGCCTGTAGAATTCTACCTCTCTCTGACCCAGGAGCTAGGGTGAGGTGAGGAGGTGAGAGGAAGGTGAGGAAAATACCCCTGGGATGGAATGTGCAGAACTTTGGCTTCTTGCTGGAGAAAATATGAAAGCCTGCTGCCCTGTGGAGTCTGGAGAGGGAGGGCTATGCCAGGCCAGTGGACAGCCTGGAGTTTGGGGGGTTAATTTCCAGCGGGGTTCAAAAGCAGCTCAGGGAGGTATTGCAAGTTGGGCTCTAATTAAGTACAGAGGAGCCTATTAAACCCAAACACTTTTACCTAGGAGAAAGGGGTGAGTTTGAACAGTGTGCTAGTTCATATTTTGTCTTTACCTGTTACATTTTGTCATTAGCTTGGATTGTAAGATCCTTGCAGCAGGGTTTCTCTCTTTCTATGTATGTATAGCACCTAGCACAATTGGGCTTCAGTCTCAGGTGGTGCCCTGAGCTGCTATTGCAAGGAATGCTGCTGGAGACTTCTGTTAAGTTGAAGTCAATTTTGGTCAAACCAGCACACATACAGTAACCTAACCACCGCCCGGAAGAAAATGATCTTGTGTTCAAATGTGACTGTCTGCTATCCTTTCTCTTTCATTATGCTGCCTCTCATCCTGCAGCTGCTACAGTCTCCTCTCTTCTTCCGAGCAGCCAGGTTGGAAAGGTATTGGTGTAGCTGATGTTACAATGGTTCTGCATCAGCAGATGGTTTGTTCTCATAACAATGCATTGTTAAACGAACCTAAACAAGAGCAAACACAAAGACAGGACAAAATACTGCATGCAACATCAGATTTCATTAGCTTTGTAGTAGGCGAGGCAGATTTTAGGTATCAGTATAATTTTGTGAGAAAAGAGGATTATGGGCCGGTGTTTGACATAAGACTGTTGTTAATGCATTTGATTATTAAATTCTCAATTAAGAAAATAGTTTCTCCATAAGGTAGTGTTTTCCTAAAGGCAATTAAAATAGCCAGAACCTCCACGTGTTTATTTTTAGGTATGTTGTCCACAGTTCAAACGGTCACAAATTAAAATAGAATGGAGAACTTCTGAAATATTTACAAATTTCAAATGATTCAATGGAAGTTGCTAAGGGCTCTTTATGACCAATGTACACTTGTCCTCTTTCATAGAGCAACGTCCTGTTAGCATCTTGGCATAACTTGCTCCTAATATAGAATTTTTAAAGACTCTGAAATCTGATCCAATTAACACATTCTTGATATTGCAGAATATAGTGCTAATTACATGCAACTGACCTCTGCGGGTTAATTAAACAGTCACCCAAAAAACTATAGCACTAATCTAATTAGCAGTTACTACAGCTGTCATTATCTCTTTGCACCTACTTTTAAGTGGTGCAAATTCACATCAAGGACCAAATCCTGAAAACTCTCCACATGCTGAACTCCCTTTGACTTCAGTGGTACTTCTGCACACAGAGGACTTGCAAGATTGGGAAGTAGGCCCAACAAGTACAGTGTGTATCCTCAGTATGGCCAACCCAAAGGTTACATTAAAATATCATGAGTCAGGCCCCACAAAATCATGAGTTAGATTTAAAAAAAGTGGGGTTCTTTTTGTTTGCCTTCTTGTTTTTGAGCCTTTAAAGTACACTAAAGTCACATCTTCTTCATTTTTCTTCAGCCAGGTGGGCTAGACACTTTTTGAAAAAATGAAAGCTGAGATTCTCGTATATTCACATGAATCCAGGAGCTGGGGCTTTAAGAGAAAATACCAATTACTGTCAGATGCACAATAACCTAGTGACACTGTGACAATGGCTTGATGACATTCTCTGTTTTCTCAGAATTTTGCCTGTCAGTGGGAGTTAAGTCTGGGAATACCGACGTTTTGTTTATTTTGAGGGAATAACTTTTCTTCCTGAACTTGGTTTAAAATGAACACTAATGAGAGTTGCACAGCTACAATGTTGCATGGTGAGATAAAGGGGTGCAGAGGCGTTCCATGATCACAAAAAAACTGGGAATTCACTTTTTGCTTAGGTCTCCCACATGTAGACAGTGTGTGGAATAATGAAAAAATGGGGGGATAGAAGGCATAGTCAGGCACTCGCACTCAGAGAGAACATGGGAAACCATTAAATACAGTTACCTGGGAAGCAGAGGGGAATCCTGTGAGGAGACAAAAGCCTATATACCCAGTACTACTTCATGTTATGGAAAAAGCATTTCTTCCTTTTGTTATAACCTGTGCCTACTAAAGCTCACAAATGAAGCCCTGGAGCAAACACCTGTGGCGAGAGACTTAATGGCAGATTGCTGGCTCACTTTCCCAGCTTACGCCTTGACAAAGTTGGTCACCATTATAAAACTCAGATGTAAAGTGTAAAATAAAATGTTATTAGGAACAACGCTTTTTAAACAGAGATCATGAACCTTTATCACTATATATTGCAGTTAGAACTATACCATATAATCAGTCCATTCATGGTTGGCCTGACACCATTTATACATTAGAGTCACTGGTGCAAAGGAGAGGGAGGAAAGATTTGCATCTGGTACACCTTTTTTTTGTTATTATGATCTAGGTAATCTGCCTCTTTAAAAGCGGATTCATATATACAGGAGGATAATTGCACACTACTAATTATATGGCTGAATGTATTATGAACAAACTATTGCTACAATTCAGATCCAAGATCAGCAATTGAGCGGTCATTCAAACACAATTTTTAGTAAACATGTATTCAGAAGAGCTGTAGTCCAAGGATATGTTATTTATTTGTTTTTAAAGATAAGATTTACAATAGCACTGTAGTATGTGTGCAAAGGAACTCACTAGTACAGGGTGGTGATTGGCAGAATTACTTCTGATTTCCAACTCCCATCATCCAACAGTGAGCTGTTGGCAAGCCAGCAGCAGGGGGTCTGATCAGAAGGTCTAGGAATAATACAGGAACAGACTGCCTGGTGCTCCCAAGGGAGTCAGGAAGGGTTGGAAATTGGATGAAGTCTAGGGTTCTGAAAAGCAGCTAGAGGAACGGCTGGCTGGCTGGTGAGCCAGGGCTGCAAGAAGCAGCAGGAAGGAGAAGAGAAGCCAGAAGTTGGGCTAAGAGCCATGGGTGTTGAGTGAGCCAGGACTAGAATCAGGTCTGGTCTACATGGGATAGTTTTACTGGTTATACAGTCATAGTATACTGCTATAGTCTCCGGCACAGACACTCCTATTGTGGTGTTAGAGTGGCTTTTTGGTTTTGCTTGAACCCCTTCACAAGCAACATAAATGAAAATGAAAAAAGTCATTCATATCAGAGTAACTGTGTCCATAGGGAGTTATACCTGTGTAACTATCCATTTAAATTAACACCTTAGGTTATACCAAAAAACCCTCTCCCTTATAGACAAGGATAATTGACTATCCACAAAGCCCAAATTAGCCACCTCTCTTGTTGGTCAGTTAGCTCTAGAAATGTAAGGTACATTCCAAGCAGCAACAGCAAGGATGGCTGACACAGAGACACATAGGGAATCAAAGTGATTCAGGCATATGCCTCCTACTTACAAGGTTTTTATTAAGGGCCTGATTTTGGCTCACCACAGTTTTACATTGGTGTCATTCCACTGACTTCAATAGCATTACTTCTGATTGGTATCAGTGTGAGATCAGAATCAGGCCCTAAATGCTTTACAGAATAAGTCACAGTTAAAGCAAGTTACTTTACAAAAATGTTGGTTATAAATTTCAACCATAGGTTCATTTACTTTGCAAAAATAGCAGAACAATTAATCTCAACTTTCATAAACATTGTATTTTGCTCCTGAAAATTCATAACATTTTGTAAGTCGCCTTTCATTGAGTGGGGTATCCCTCAGACTTATTCATATAGCAAGTGAACATATTCAAATAATCACACTGCAGGGAAAGATCCTGTAAGTTACCCACATAGAGATGACAATAAAGTACACACAACACGTTCCATTCCTCCTTGTCACATTAGCGTCTATTTTGCACAGTAATGTAACTGAATTTTAAGAAACATCCTTGATCATTTAAAGTTGATTCTGGTAGCCTTATTCATCTGAATCATACCTTACTCTGTTGATTGTCCCATTGCACGGTGTTACTGAACATGAATGACAGCAGCAAAACCAGTCCCTAAGTGAGTATTTAATCTGTCTCACTCCCACCCAGTTACTGAGCTGTCTTCAGCATCACCAGAAAGTCCTCCAGTGCAAACATGTCAACAGCTAGGCAACTGCTTCATGCTTTCTAACATTTAAAAATACTCTATTGTTAGTAGTAAATGTTACACAAAGATTCTTTCTTCTTATGTAATAGTAATAATATATAGGATCTGATTCTCCTCTTACACTGGTGTAAATCAGGACTGACTCCTTAGAAGTCGATGTCTAGATCGAAATCTGGCCCTTAGTGCCCATCTTCAAAGCATGTTATAACTATAATTTGGTCATAACATTCATGGTTCAGGAAATACAGTCACAATAAACTTAATTATTAGTTTTGGATACTTCAGTGTTATTCCTTAACTGTATCTCATCTTCAACCCTGTTTATGCCATGGATATTTCTCAAAGATTTCCCACCGTTGTTAGTGGTGGCTCACCTCCACCAGTGTTAGCAATACTGGGAATACCTGTTATAGATCAGGTCACCAATTGCTGCAAGCATTTTAAATAAAGATGCTCAGAAAATGCCCGTTGTTTTTAAGGGACATTTTTGTTCATAAAAAAACCAGACCATTTTGACCAAAATGAAAATCTTGAGCAACATTTTTTGTTTAGGTTGAAAAGTCCCACTACAATGAAAAAACAAAAACAAAAACGCATCAATGAAAATAATTAGACTAGCTCTATCTTTAAGTTGCATTGTTGCTTAGACTTAGATTTGTCTTCAGTGCAAAAAAACTGTGTGATTTTATATTGTGATAGCTAACTCAAGATCACCATCTCAGTGTAAAATGCTAGTGGAGACAAGGCACTGTAGTTTTACCTCAATGCAGCTAGTCAAGGTTAACCCCATGCGGGGGCTGACCTTGACTAGCTACATCACAGTAATAACCAACTGTGCTGTTACTACTCCACTGTTACATTGAGTTAGCTATCTCAGTGTAAAAAAACACACCTCTTTTTGCAGAGAAAAGTCTGGCTCTGAGCAGGTCTAATCAACATGGTGTTTAAAACAGTGGTGGCAGCTTTTGGATCATATGTGCTTGGGATCTCAACATTGCTGACAACAGTGGAACAGACCCAGTGTAGCAAGAATGGGACATTTTGAAGAGATTAGACTTCCACACCATGCTTCCCCTCTTCCTCTCTTTCACACAGAGAAACATTTTGTACATTTCAGGTAACATTATACATGATGACAGGTTTCAGAGTAACAGCCGTGTTAGTCTGTATTTGCAAAAAGAAAAGGAGGACTTGTGGCACCTTAGAGACTAACCAATTTATTTGAGCATAAGCTTTCGTGAGCTACAGCATCCAATGAAGTGAGCTCACGAAAGCTTATGCTCAAATAAATTGGTTAGTCTCTAAGGTGCCACAAGTCCTCCTTTTCTTTTTGATTATACATGATGTAAAGAGATAATCTACATCTTCACACAGTTGATGGAGGTATCTGACTAAAATCATAGTTATTTTTTCCTTGAAGATGCTCATGATTATGGAGTTTAAAGGTGCTTTTGAGCAGGTTAATTGTGTTCATATACATTTGAATTCAAGTCTGAATGTAGGGGTCCAATTTCAGAATCTTTAATCTTCTGAATCTCACACTTGCAATCCTCCACAATCATGACCACTTTAACCACGGCAACAGACCTGGTGCAGTTCAGCTCCAAGTGTTTCATGGTGAACTTGGTAGGCAAGCAGTGGGAACAAAAGGTGTAAAGACGATCTTCTGGGCCAGGGACATGAAAGGAACTACACTTCCCAAAGCACAGGTTGTTCTGCACCACCACCTTTTCACAGTTCTCATGCACAATACTCTGAAACAGCAAACAGATTGCAGTTACTATATAGCATTGGCATTGTAAACACTTGTTGGCCCTGATCCTCCATTCTTTGCACATTCAAAACTCCCATGGACTTTTCTGGCAGATGTAGACACAAAAATAATAGAAGATAGGGCTCATACAACTAATATATAAGTTTCTTCTCTTACTGTTAGTTACTGTAGCACTCACATCATTTAAAATTATTTTAAGTAGCAACAAAATTAAAACAAGAGAGTTCCTGATACAGTAAGTTACCTAGTGATATTTCCCACTTACTTGGATAGTGTTACTATAATATATACCTTTACATTTATGTATATCGTATTTGGTTCAAAGGGCCTTTATGTTTGAAAAATTACTACCAAGTTTGAGTCACGTCCGTTATATTAAGCACTGGTCTATGCTGGAAGTTATAACTTCTTTGACTAGAGTTTTTTTAACCAACATAGTTATAAGCCCTTGTGTGGATGCAATTATATCAATATAAAGATGCCTTATTCCAGGATAGCTTATTCCACATCCCAGATTTGAATCAACTAACCTGATATAAGCACTTTTATACTGGTGTAACTTTGTCCACACTAGGGACAAGTTAATGCTTTAACAATACCAGTATAGTTAAAGTGGTACAATCTTCTAGTATAGACAAGGCTTTACTCCTCATTTTTAGTAGAATGGGTCAAGAATTTGAGTTTAGCCATAAAACCACAAACCAACCCCTGAATAACTGCACTGAGACTGATTGTATAAAAAATAACTTACTGTTCTTCCTGCTGTTCAGGCTAAATCACTGTATATTCATTACATTGGTTCCCAGACCTGTGCTCAGACAATGTGACTCATTGAACTAAAGCAAAAGTTTTCTTCAGTACCACTGGATGTCTATGAAGTGGTCTTGCTGCTAGCAAGTGGAATTGACCTGTATTTCCTTAGTCAGGGATTACAGATGACACATGAGAGTGGAGTTTGTGAAGGCAGATTAATGGGAGCAAATACTGCTATTGGGTCTCTTGCCTGAGACCTGTTCTTACCTGGGAAAAAGGCAGCGTCCTGCAGGTCTCCTGGTACATCTCGTTGGTCTTGATTGGCAAGACAACCTCCTCAGAAGCTGAATTTTTTTTTAACATGAAATGGTCCCAGAATTTTTTAGCATCTTTTCTGTAGGGGGGCTCAGCTTCCTTCTTGTTGACTGAGTGGGAAGGTAGGAAATGTCTCATGTTTTCAGAATGGGAGGTCTCTTTTGGTGCAGTCCAGCTTCCCTGATCTCGGTACACATCAAGCTCTACGTAGGGAAGGATAAATCTGGATGATTTTTTTTCTCCTTGCTTCCTGCTCTCTGCTGCCAGCTCTGGGGCTGCTACAAATAAACTTGGTTCTTCTAGGATTTCTTCATAATCCATGAGATCTTGCACCAGCAACTTGCTAGGGTCCTCTCTTTCAAGTAAATCTTTATCTTGGTAGGAAAGGTGCTGAAGTCTCCTCCTCTTGTTCGTTTGCAGCTCTCCACCTTGTCCTGTTGCTCCAAGACCTGAGATCACAAGCAGTTGAAGCAGCAGCAGAAACATGCTAATCTTACTTGTGTGGACTTTTAATTTAATCGTCCTGCAGTTTCAGGTGAGCAAAGGAAGCGGCATGTAGTCTGCTAGCTTTATAAATGAGACTGAAGCCATTCTGTGGATGCTGGGGGTTGGGGGGTACAAAGGGTAACCAGGGTAACCAGTTAAACTCATTTACTGTAGATTATAATTATGATAAGGGAATTTGTGTTAATTCAACCCATCTTTTACTCCTGGATGTGTGTATTAGAAGTTCCTATCTAAAACCTGGTTCCCCAGGGGGGTGATTAGTTGGAAAAAAATGTTTGGATAAGTTGTTTAGCTGTAGTCTTGAACTGTGGAAAAGTTCCTGAATGTTTATTAGCTCATTCAACATGTCCTTTATATTTTTTCACTTACCCCCCCCCCATCACAGCAGAATCAAAAAAGGGACGTCCTGTTGTGATGAAATATCAGAGAAAGCAAGGGCAATAAAACTATTTCAAAACATGAAGATAGATCTGTAGACTTACATAGAGATACCGGCCCACATTTTCAAAAGAGATCCCTAATTTAGAGGCTTCACATTTTTGGATCTATCAATTAAGTCTTAGATAGGGTACTTTAATATCCAAGCCACCCAAAATTAATTTTCTGACTTGAATTAGATTTCAGCTTCTCAGAAACTATGGAAAATCAGACCCCATGTATCTCAAACTGGGCAACCAAAAATAGAGGAACCTGTATTTAGTGCACACTTCTGAAAATTTGGCCCTCAGAGACTTGTTGAAGCTCAAATACTGTAGTGAATCACTGACATGGATGAGAACAGCATCTTGTGAATTTTTCACCATATCACTCACTCTCTTGTGTAAGGGAGAAATAACATGTTTGTACATGAATAAAATGGACATACTTTTAACAAAACTGTATTAACAATTAATTCATTAAATAGCAATAGGATACAATATATCTGTTCATACACATTCACACCTCCACATTCAGAATAGCTGTTCAAAGATGTGACACGCAATTCCCATAGAGCCTAGTCTTCAGCACATAGTCCAAAATCTGGCAAAACTCCCATTGACAATTAAGCCACATAAATCTGGATAATTTTTGATTAACAAAGCAGAAAGTGTGGTACCACCAACTCCCAAGAATGCTGTTCTGAGCTTATGTCACATATGCCTTTTAACTGCTCTATCTGAAGACTGTTTTGCCTCTAACAATTTATACATTAGATTGGATTATAAGCAATATTCAGATAGCCCCAGTTTAAGAAACCACTGCTGTTAGCACAATTTATTATTTATGTAGCACCATCATTGTCAAATGTATACCATTCACAATGTAAACTAAAACCTGCATGGTTTTGAATCTCTCTCACACCTTTTGCAACTCTTTATGCAAGCTTCGAAAGTAAGAAAAAAATTGTCCTTGACAGATATTTCCAACAGGTTAGATCAATATAACAGAAAACCCTCCTCAGACTGTAACACCTATTATTTTTGAAGATGAATACCAATACTTGCCATTTTAGTACTCATATTTAGTGTCTACACATCCTTGATTCCACTTGAATATCAATAAGCTGTTAGACTGGCTTAAATCAAGGTGCTGCCAATCTGAAGATTAGTGTTAAAGACCTAGTTGATCTATGATAAATGCATGTCATTATTTGTCTTTCACCTCAGAGGGCTTAGTTTATTGCCCTCTAATTGGACTAAACCTATTGCCTTGCAAAGTTCTTGTGGGACACTGACTTGCAGCATTTATTGTTGCTATGCATGTGCATTACTATTAGTAATAGTGCAAAGCTATTTGAGATTTAGACCTTGTCTTCTCTGCCTGGTTAACCTGAGTTATAATTCAAGTGTTGCCCTAAACTTGCGTCCCATCACACACAAAAACCTGTAACTCAAGCATGGTGGTGATTCCAACTTCAGTTGGGCAGCCCATCAGGGTATATAGGCTTCAGCTTAAAGTAGCACAAATCATTAGTTGCTAACATGAACACTCTAGTGTGGACACAGGATAGAGCTGCTAAAGTGTTGCTGGTACTCCAGTACTTTCCCACAATTCTACCCACATGCTCAGACAGGCAAAACAATTTTCCCTGCAATTCACTGGGAAAAAATTCATAAGAGTGTCTCTGTTCGCTGCAGCGCAAACCACCGTAAGATATGCCTCCAGAAGTCTTAGCACTACACACTAATGTGTGATGTGTCAGTATGGCCATGGCAGCTCACAAGCTAAATCGCAGCGCAGCCGCTCTCACTTGAGCTGGGCTAACTCAAGACAGGTAACTCAAGTGTAGAAAACTTAAGTTAGCTGTTCAGTAAAGACATACCCTAAATGTACAGTCTTAAATCTAATTTCCTATTTTTAGTGTCTAATAACTTTAACCAAAATAATGTACTAAAATTTCTCCTATCTAGTGCAAGTGGAATAATAACCATTATAAATTATTTTACACCTTTTCTGACATTAAAAAAGTCAATTATATTTTAAGATTATTCATTTAGCTACAGGACTGGACTGATAATTAGACAGATATATTTGTATCTTGGCCAACACACCAGGTATTGAAGCAGGAAACAAAAAGGAGTTTTCACCAGCAAAGCTATTTTTCACTTGCTTTGTTTAGGCTTGAATAGCCCTAAAACAGATTTAAAATTTCAAACTTTGGCCATGATCTTGAAAACACAATTTTATTCAAATGCGTAGTCCCATTGCCTAAAGACACTCACATGCAAGTTTGCAGGAGAGAGAGAGAAAGAGAGAGAGAGAGAGAGTGTATGCTTGCATGTGTGTGTGTATCCTGATCCAACCCCCCTTGAAGTCAACAGAAAGACTGTCAGCAAAGAACATACACATGAGCAAAAGCAAAGTATTGCATACACACTGTGCATTATGCTGTTTATTATTACAATTATTTATAGTTCAGTAGCACCTCAAGGCTTCAACTGAGATCAGGGCCCCAGGGTGCTGGGCACTGTAAAGATACATAGAGACAGTCCCACCTAGAAATGCTTATGTTATATATATATAAAAAGACAAAGCAGAAAAAGGGTGTGGTGGAAACTAAGGCACAGACAGATTAAATGAATAGCAGGTTAGTGGCAGAGCTGGGAAAAGCACCCAGGTGCCCTAGCCATTGGATCATGCTGCCTCTCTGCGAGCACAATGCAGGGGTCTATACTCAGCCCTTAATTCCTCCCTGCACAAGGCCAGATATCTTTCCCCAGCAAACTCTGAATAGAATCTTTGGTAATAATACAAAATATTTACAAATCCACTCCTTGAGACAAAAACTGTATGGAATAACGAATACCTGCAATGGATATTGGACAGGGGAGACTGTCATTATAACCCAGTGAAACAACTGTCACATTCCTACAAAATGCAGTGTAGCAATAAATATACAAAACTATATTTTTTCTGCTTCAGTATTTGGGTAGTGAGTATTTTTGCTCCATTTTGGGTGTTAAATTTTGTGGGCAAATACCGTGCTCAGATTCGAACAACCTTTCACCCCATAGCAGCATTTTATTTTTGAGTACACTGCTTTCACTTGAACTAGTCAGCATTAATGCTTTCCAATCTTTTAAAGCACAGAGATCTACAGATGACAAGTGCTTTGTAAATACAAAGTATCATTATTCATTTGCTTCAGATTGTTCAGTCATCATGGACATAAACTGAATAATTAGTTACACTGCCAATTGATGCCTAAAAATAATTCTTAGCCAACGGTGGAATTTTTTTCCTTCTGTTGAGCTAAATAGGGTCATTATAGTATAAATTACAAACCCTCTAAACTTCTATCCAGATAAAACTTTTAAAGAACCCATTTAAAGACCTCAGAACTAATTAATTACTACTTTACAGTACATTCCCCAATTATTATACATTCCAAAGAAAGCCCTCTTTTTTTTTCTTTTTTTTTTTAGAGTATTGAGTTTTTAAAAAGGCAGAAAGAGTCACATTACCTAAACATGCCTTTCATAGCACAGTTACAATAACTAACCCAGTAGGCTTGTGAGTGATATAACAGGACAAAAAATCTGATGGCTTTTACATCTTAAAATTTGTATACGTCACCTATTTCCATTGCAGTGAGGTTCTTAAATTTTGTTGCCAATTGGTATAGCACAATTTCATCCACATCTTTATAATGTTTTTCTCTGTATGCTCATCCCAACAGGAATAAAACCAGTATTCCAAGCTGCTGCCAAAATTTAGATGCCTACGTTTGAAAAGTTGTCCTCTACTTACAGTAGAACCAATAGAATTGCAAGCTTAAATGTGTTGGTCCTTTAGCCTTACCATATAGTAAAAAACCCCAATAACATGGGAAAATCTACACAGAAATATTCATTTGAGAATGAAAGTAACATAGCTTTCAATCTATTGAAACCCAAATACAGAACAACATTTTTAAGTAGAGAATCCTAAAAAATGGAAGAGGGAGAGGAGAGAAGGAGGCAGAGACAACAACAATAGTTAGGAAAGAAGTTTGAAGATGTTTGGAATCAATATTTTTATCAAATAAAATTTGTGAGGTCAATATTGTGATTAAACATTTCTGAGATAAAGAATGAAAATATTAAAAAGTAGTATAACCTTCCTATTGCAGCTATTTTAGTCTTACTATCACTTCAAGAGGCTGTGCAGCATGCAAATGTACATGACTTGTTGGGACATGTTGCTTTTTAGAAGCAAAAATGGAACTGGTGTGGTAGAAACAGGCAGTTGCTCTGAACTCCTCAGTAAGCTTGGATTGTACAGAATTCAGGAGATGTTTTTAGCAACAGAAGTATTATATTTTCTTCTTGATATCAATGAAGGGAGCAGAGTGAAGATCAACATGGACATCCATATTGCATCAGCAATGCCAAGATCAATGAGATGCATGGCTAGTTTTCTCTCTAAGCATCCCAGCTTGTTAGACTCTGTGCGGATTTCCACATATGATAGCATCTCCTAAGCAAAACATGGAGGCAGAATCTATGTATCATTTAACTGAGAATCTAACTCATCCCAAACTCAGTGTGGAGCTGGAAACCACCCGAAGCGGTTGGTTGATTTCTGTGGCTTGCTGTGAGGTGGAAGATGAAGAGGGAAAAGCAAGACATCTGGAATAGTTTGAGAGACATTAGAATCTTGATAGAAAACCCCCCTTTTTCCTGAAATACATGAAAAGTGAGAGAGAGCAGTGGAAATTCTCTAAACAGTCTGAAAAGACACCTGGAAGATATTGCCAGCACAATCTAAGCCTCTGTAAGAAGATGATGGTAAGACTTCTTATAGCCATAGGTTTATTTATAGCAATAGGTATATTGTGTTATTGGTAAAAGCAGTAATAATAAGTAATCATTGGAACAACTTACCAAGAGACGTGGTGGATTCTCCAT